CCCCTGCGGATGACACGACTTTGCAATGGACTAATTAAATTATGGAATAAAGAAGGCGTGTTGAAGCCTCATGGTAGGTACTTGAATAAGAAACTAATTACAATCTCTTTCTCACTTGTTGTGAGGTTTAGCTTTTGGCCAAAGTACACATATAGACCACTTAGAATTTATGACATATATGTGTCGAACATTTTCAATTACCAACATTAGATTTATTACTATGTTAAACACCAAAACTACGCTCTTATTCAGTTGTGGAAGGAAATTAACAAGATATTAATATCTAATCAATCAAATCTTTATATTAACATGTTATAAAAAATATAAATATTATGACAAATAAATAATGGCAATTTATCCACATGTAGGGACGGGTCTCTCTTTGGATCTTAACCTAGAAACTCATCGCATATATAATATAGATTCATAAGTTGGATCTAATGCTTAACTCAATTACATCAATCCTAGGTTAAACTTCTCTCTTTGTTGCTACTGGATATCGAACTAAGAATAAGTGGGCTTAGTATGAAACCTTTGGCGAAGTGTTGTGTTATGCAGAGATCTTTACACCAGGTCGCTATCTTTTGGCCCTTGAACTAGGGCCCGTTGTCAAAGAAAGGAGGTTAACAATCATTATCATATATATAGTTAAACGATAGCACCCGATCAAATGCTTTCATATGGTTGGTTTCCTTTGATAAAAACGAAAGAGTGTTAATCCGCACGAGACCAGATAGGCCGAGGGTTAGAAGCCTGCCTTAACGCCTTATCCAAAGAGTTGTCCTTATGAGGCTAACCCCTGCGCAAGTCTCGAAAGGTTCGTCAAGAACGCAAAAGGGGGCCACGAAGGTCGACAGTGACGGAAAACTAACAGAGAAACTGAGACAGGAATTTGTTGTGGGCTTGTTGTCCGAGATCCGAGTTTTCAAAAGTTGGGGTTCAGGAACTTGTGGAAGTGTGATTTGGAAAAGTAGGCCAGATCCCGGCCGTTGGCGCCAGAGCTTAGCTTGACGGACATGGGCGCCATAACTTTCAATTAATTGATTTTCTTATAGTATTGAATTTGATGTTTTAATAGTTTTTTTGACTATAGACTGGTACACATTTACTTAATATAAAGGTAATATAAATCTTAGTTTTACTTTACTGACAACTAATGTGTTCAACTACGTTATTCATCCACTACAACGGAGAATGGGACAACAATGTATACAGAACTTTGACGTTGGATGAGTTCTGATTAAAATATATTGCATGCACATAGATTTATGCAGGGAAGTTCAAAAATAAAACTAAACAACCGGTCCTAATTTACTCAATACAAACGTTATACACACATTAGTCATACTCAACTTACAGATACTGTCTCTAATACAAAGAAATAATTGATGTGTACTAAATTCCTCAGAATCGCACGCGACTTTAATCAATATCTACCTATTGACGATCTTCTACCTGCGTGCGAGAATCTAGACCCGTTGTTTTCCCCACTAATCCGTCTAATGGAGTGAAGAAAATTGTTCCGGACGAGAAGGATGAGGAAGCTTCTGTCAATGGATACAGGTTTTTGAATGGCGAGAGAAACTACACAGAGGAGCACGTGCACATGGTCCGCCAAATCCGGACTAAAAAGGATTATTACTCGATTTTAGGCCTGGAAAATAATTGCACCGTGGATGAAAAAAGGCGTACAAAAAGTTGTCCCTGAAAGTCCATCCGGACAAGAACAAGGCCCCCGACTCTGAGGAGGCTTTATGTATATATTCTGTATTTTCTGGATATCTTATGTGTATAATTTGTATATAATGACAAGATTGATTTATCTTGTGTATTTTTATTTACGTGGTCTGTATATATTGAGTATATCTTCTGTATATAAGGTTAATCGTGTATATTATGTATATTATATTTTTTGTAATTATGAGGAAAAATTTTTGTAATTAACTTGATTGTAGGAAACGTTTAAATAATTTGGTAACTGATATTTTTTACTCAATGCAAATGAATCCATTTTTTTTAGGTACAGATGCAAATATAAACACCCATCTCGTGAGAATAAAATGATTTTAATATCTTGTGGTTATCTTAAAATTTCGCCTATAAAATAAAATGGTTGTATGCATACCACATGGGCTACAACCCATGTATGACTAGTAATACTTTTATAATTAAATAACATTTTCATTCCACTTACGTGTCTTGACATATAATTGTAACTATTTTCAATGGAATTGTATCGTGTGGCAGCCACACCTAATATTTATGCACTTGGTAGAATTTATAACATGATTCATTTCACTCGTTGTTACATACATGTACCACACGAGAGAGGATGAACACAATACAAAAACAAAACTATTATAAAACTAAAGTGAAATATAAAATATGAGTTAACGGAATAAAATTTTCCGTCAACGTCAAAAGTGATCCTAAGACTGATGACTTATTCCCATCATTTGACAATGAGAACTTTACATATACAAAGAAAAAAAAAAAGGACATTCTTCCATTTGATGCTCTCATAGAAGCTCTCAATTTCCCCTGCAAATTTTGAGAAGGGGAAAACTACCCGTGCCTTCTAACGCGTTTCGAATAAACATTTTTACGACGCTATGAGGCTGCGGTAAGGTGGTGAATCTCTCGGTCGGTTATCGGCATGAATCCAACTCGCTTCTGCAATATCATAATCAATTTCATAATTAATATCATTTGAATCGACTAGATTGTGGAATGGAAAGTAGACATGTTCAAAGGCCGGGCCGATTCACGACCCGGCCCAGATAGCCGAGTCGATGGGCCTCAAATGCTGGACCCAGAATTGGCCCGGCTCTATAAAAAAAAGGAAAAAACAAAAAGAAAAAAAGAAAATGTGGCATTACATGTGGCATCATATTATAGTGCCACAACATAATGTGGCACATTATGATTGGAGTCACACATGATGTGTGCTAGTTGTGGCACCAATCATAATATGCCACATCATGTTGTGACACCATAATATGGTGACATATGTAGTACCATAGAATTTCTGGTGAGTGACCCTAATGTTTTCTTAACGGGAATATAAAAAAAAAGGAAAAAAAAAATAATGAAATAAATATATAAAACTAACCTGTCGAGATTTGACGCTTCTCGTAACGGCCGCACCATCGCCGTTGCTGCCGCCGCCGGTCGCGGCCACATAGAATTTAGCAATTTTCTCGGCCACGTCGGCGCCGTCGTTGCTCTCCGCCATCAGCCTCTCTACCTCCGCCTTGGGCAGCCGCATCCTGACCCTCACCCCGCCGGGAACTCCAACCTGATCATCCGACGGCGGCGGCGGCGGCGGCGGCGCTGACAGATCGGAGGCCGATCGGCGCGCCAGCTTGAGGCTCTCGAGCCGTTCCTTGGCGCCCATATGGATCCCGGATCTGACCCGTCTTGCCCCGATCCTGTTGTCATCGTTCTTGGGCAATTGGATCAAGAAATAGACCCGACCCGGCTTCAGCTCCTGTTCCGGCTCAAGCGGCGTGGCTCGCAAGCCGTACTGCTTTACCGCCTGGGACTCCAACAGGACGTGACCCGGACACGTGTCAATGACCGACCCGGCCCGAACCGGTACCTTTACCTTCTGAGTTTCCCCGCTGATTTTCATCACTTTTGCGCTCTTTTTCCCTCCCAAACTGTTTCCCATTATTATTGTTCTGATAATCTGTTTTGATTTTAATTTTTATTTTTCGGTTTTGTTTATTTGGGGGACCAAAAGCTCGTAAATTAAAGGGAAAAAAAAAAACAAAAAATTAAGGTAGGATTTATTGAAGTTGTTTGTTGTTTAGGGCATATATATATATATAATGAAATAATGACAAATAAGTTCAATCAGATTGGGACATGGAGACTTTTTCAGCAGATTATAAGCCATAATAGTGGGGAATTATTAATATAATTTTATACTATTATTATTTTAATGTGGTAAGGAAGGTCAATTTATCAACTCTTTTAGAGTGTGTTTGCATGCTAACGACCATGCCGTTGAATTTATGGTATATACACCGTATATACAAACTGACATTTTTTTGACCGAAAATCAAACGGAACCGACGAAAAAAAAAAAAAAAAAAGAACCGTACTGATTCATTTAAAACGGTAACAGATTATCGATTTCCGAAACCATAAAGGTTCGATTATACCGACCGTACCGATAAGGAATTAGAAAAATTAATACTTAATGTTAATAAGTAATAACTTAATACTAATAATTAATAAGTAATAACTTAGTTCTAATAATCCAAGTATCCAATCGATCAGTCCTCTCACATTAAAAGAAGAAAAAAAAAATCTGCTCTCTCACCCATTAATAATAATCCAAGTTGCATTATTATTGGTAAATTTCAATTTTTTCGATAAAAAATCGTTACTAAACCGATTGTAACCGGTAACCGAAATTCGGTTCATTAACGGTTTCATATTTGTAGTTAACGATTACAATCGTTTTGGTAACTGTTTCATATTTGTAGTTACCGAAATAAAAGGTTCGGTATTGATTTGGCTTTATCGGCTCGGTAACTGAACCGATACAAACCCTAGTATATACACTCCCTTCCTAGTTATTAATCGATCAATATCCCGCACCAATTAACCATCCTATCTCTCTTCTTATAATTGTTACCATATTATTCTTACAATTTTGTTTTGATTCCTTAAATAAGTAATGGTAAATGGTGGTGAAAGTTCTAAAACAAACATTTTATTTATTTATTTATTTTTTATTTTTTTTAAAAAAGGAAAGAAGCCTAGACACCTAAAACGACATTGAATCCAAAACAGTGCGTGGAGCTTAGACATTAAATAAATAGTAATTTATTTTAGCAACAAGTAAATTAGAAAATAAGAACTCGGGAAATAAAGGATATCTATTTTTATTCAAGAAAAATCTATTACACTTTCTACCTTGTCTGTATCTTACTTTCCATTAAGCGTGCGGACCCTAAAATGAAAAGATCCGCAAAATATTTGAAATGCACATGTAATGGGGTCTCGTGTGTGTGTGGGTGTGTTTTACATTAATTTCACAACAATTTAATTTTACATATTCTAATTAAGAGTGAAATTACGTAGAGTATGACATATATCTCCTCACAATACTATGTATTAATATTTTTAAATCATACATAGGTCAGTGTTAACTTGATACAGTACAAGAATACACTTCAATTCCAACGGCAAAAATTTCCGTTGGAACTTCCGATGAATATTCCAACAAACTTAATTTTATGTTGGAATAAGTGTTGGATGGTTGAGAAATTTGACACAAAAGAGACGACACAAAGTTTGGGGTGAAAATACACTATTAACCATGAATATATACACAAAATTAGGGCTACAGTTACCTAAAGAGAACCTAAGGCTAGTATAGGAAATACACAAATATACACAATAACACCCCCCCTCAAGTTGGAGCATGCGGATTCCGAATGCCCAACTTGCCAAGAAAGAAATCAAATTCACGCTTCCCAAGCGCCTTGGTGAAGATGTCGGCGAGCTGTTCCCCAGAAGGAACATAAGTAGTAGAAATGAGACCCTGAAGAACAGCATCTCGAACAAAGTGACAATCCACCTCAATATGCTTAGTCCGCTCGTGAAAAACTGGATTCGCCGCAATATGCAGTGCAGACTGGCTGTCACAGTGTAACCTCATAGGCTGAGAGTGAGCGACACCAATAGTAGATAATAGTCCTCGTAACCACTTCAACTCGCACAATGTAGTAGCCATCGCCCGATATTCAGCCTCAACAGAAGAGCGTGCGACAGTAGGTTGTTTCTTGGTTCGCCAAGAAACAGAAGACTGACCTAGCTGAATAAACCAACCAGAAAGAGAGCGCCGAGTGAGAGGCCAAGACGCCCAATCCGAATCACACCATGCATAGAGTTGAAGATCGCAGTCAGTACGAAGATGAATCCCCTGACCATGAGAGCTTTTCAAATATCGAACCACACGCAGAGCAGAGTTCCAGTGAGCCTGACGCGGTTGATGCATAAATTGAGAGAGCATATTCACCGAATAAGACAACTCAGGTCGAGTCACTGCCAGATAGATAAGACGTCCAACTAAACGACGATATCGTTCGGGATCAGACAATAGATCACCCTCAACAAGAGGGAGCTGATGATTCTGCTCTAGTGGAAAATCAGCTGGCTTGCTCCCTAGTAATTCGACCTCAGCTATGATGTCAAGAGCATACTTCCGCTGACAGAGAAAGTAGCCAGAAGAATTTCGGGCAACCTCGATACCCAGAAAATACTTAAGCAATCCAAGATCCTTCATGTGAAAACAACGACTCAAGTAACTCTTGAAGGCCGCAATGGATGTGGCATCATTCCCGGAAACAATCAGATCATCAACATAGACCAGAACCTGCAGATGGACAGAACCACGATGCAGTGTAAAAAGAGAGTAATCATGATAGGACTGACAAAAACCATATTGCTTCAAAGCCGTAGTCAACTTGGCAAACCAGCAGCGGGGGGCCTGTTTCAAGCCATAGAGGGAACGACGAAGACGACAAACTTTCCCATCAACGCCAGAACGAAAACCAGGAGGAAACTTCATGTAAACCTCCTCAGCCAAATCACCATGAAGAAAAGCATTGTGAACATCCATCTGGTGAACTTCCCAATGCTTAGCAGCAGCCATAACCAAGAATAACCGGACTGTGACCATTTTGGTGACGGGAGCAAACGTCTCGTGATAGTCAAGACCTTCCACTTGATTATTGCCCAAAATCACCAGACGCGCTTTATAGCGCTCAACGGAACCGTCAGACTTATGCTTGATCTTAAAGACCCACTTGCACCCAATCGCACGCTTCCCATATGGAAGAGAAACTACATCCCAGGTGCCATTATTCTCCAAGGCACGAATCTCATCCTGCATAGCGGCTCGCCATCGAGGATCAGTCACGGCATCAGCAAAAGTGCGAGGCTTAGCAGCAGAGGCGACAGCAGCCAAAAAAGCTCGATGAGCTGGAGAGAATGAATCACAAGAAACATAATGTGTTATGGGATAAGGTGTACCGGAGGATGAAGACGATTGGGGAGAAGCAGTAGGGGGTTTATTCGAGGGTCGGACAGTGTCAACCACAAAGTCCTTCAACCGAGTGGAAGGAACTTTAGTTCGATGACCACGACCCAAGGGCTCCACTGGAAGAGTGGGAGGGGTAGTGGTAACGGAACCCCCCTATCGTCAGATGTGTCCATATCAGTAGCAGAAGACCCAGTATCCGGAGATACATGAGGCAAAGGGACAACCGGAAGATCCTCATCATCATTCGGCGTAGAAGAAACAGGCACAACAAGAGGCGGTGGCAAAGAATCTGGCTCAGACGAGTCTGACTGGTATGAGAATTCAGCCTCTAGAAACTCCACATCACGAGAGACAAAGAAAATCTGACGATCCAAATCATACAAACTCCACCCCTTTTTGCCAAAAGGATAACCAACAAATAGACAACGACGACTCTGAGCAACAAACTTGTCACCATTACGATCTTGGTTATGAGCATAACAAAGGCAACCAAAAACTCGCAAATGAGACAAAGAAGGAGCCGAACCATAAAGAATCTATGGGGTTTTACCATGTAAGACAGAGGAAGGAGTCCGATTTATCAGATAGACCGCAGTCAAAACACAATGACCCCAAAATGGAGAGGCAGATGAGCCTGGAATCGTAAAGCACGAGCTACATTGAGAATATGCTGATGTTTGCGTTCCACACGCCCATTCTGCTGAGGGGTGCCTACGCAAGAAGTCTTATGCAGAATCCCTTGACGACAAAAATAAGAGGTCAAACACATGAACTCACTTCCATTATCAGTACGAACAACACGTACCGATTTATCAAATTGTCGCTTAATCATAGACAAAAAATTCAGCAATGTAGAAGCAACCTCTGTCTTATCATTCAATAAATAAACCCATGTCCCACGAGAACAATCATCCACAATAGTAAAAAAATACTGTGCACCACAGAAGGACGGAACACGATACGGACCCCACATATCACAATGAATCAAATGAAAAATCTCATGACTAACAGTCTGACTGAGAGGAAAACTACGACGATGTTTTTTAGCACGAAAACAAGCATCACATGATTTATGAAAATTACGAGAACTCGAATCAATAACAGGAACCTGGGACAATACTTGAGCAGACAGATGTCCTAGACGTTGATGCCACACATCGGAAGAAACCTTTCGAACACAAGAAACTGCGGTAGAAACCGACTCTCGAAAGAAGTAAAGACCACCCAACTGCTCACCCGCGGCAATCACCTTCTGCGAAGTGTGGTTCCGAATAACACAGAATTTACTAGTAAACTGAGCGGTGCAGTCGGAACGATCCAACAATTGATATAATGAAATCAAGCTGCACTGAAGGCTGGGAACGTATAAAACATCATAAAGAGTTATATGAGATCCCAAATAAACAGTCCCAGCCCTGCTAGCCATAGTCAAGGAACCATTAGGCAATTGAACAGGACGAGCAGCAATATCTCGAACATCAGAAAAAAACTCCAGGAACCCTGTCATATGATGAGTTGCCCCACAGTCGTACATCCAATCAAATAAACTATGCGTACCAGACAAGGGATTC